AGACCTGTAGATCGCTGTGAATCTATGCATGAGCACGGAATTCGTTTGCACGTGGTCATAATCTGATGATCTACCCCAACGCTATTTATTAAGATATCTGAATAATCAGTTTGTGAAGTCGAAACGCTCCGTGGAGGGTGATGCAGTGGCCAGTTATGCAACATTTCTGCAGAAACCTGATGTGAAGGAGATTGGCTGCGTGAGTGCTCTGAGTTTCTTCATAGAAGTTTTTGTTTTCAAATTTTACCCTAGTTCCCATTTTTTCTTTTTCTCTTGGTTTACGCCCATCCTCCCCAAAACATGCTCTACATTGCCGGCCGTTTCCTTTTCACTATAGCCGCGTTCATACTTTTCGGCTACGGAGACTCCGCGATCCTGGGAAATGTGCGCACCTGGAGGCGGGTGTGGTTCACTGGCAAGAGGCCTACTCACCTTCCTCGCCGCTCATGGCTCATCCCAGATCGGCTTCCGCTCAGGCCAACCAAGCCTTCTGGGAAACGGTTAATTGTCCTCCGCAAGTCAACATCATCAGATGGACCATGTCACAGTGAATAAACCACTACGGCCAACGCGTTTTCTCTCTTTTTCTTCTTTGCTGCATCATATCGTTTGTGTGGTCGTTCTCCTCCGTTGCTGTCACGCTTTCTTCAGCAGATGATGGAGAACGGGCCGACGACGCCCTAGAAGCAGCCGTGCCTGTCGCGCATTCTCCCAGCCACCTCTTCAGATGAATATACATGTTCTACGTGCATATACATAGGTATACTTTCCCGTGACGCCAGCATTCCCGATTTCTCCCAAATCGCGGGCTTTACTATGCGCAAAATACAAATGGCACCTAACTGGTTACTGTTTTCCTTTGTCATCTTTTCCGTTGTTACAAACTTTGATTCTTGGTGGCACACTTTGCGATTTAAGTTAGCAATGGATATATGGAAAGAACGCTTGATAGAACCAATACTGGATAAGCTAGTCAACCTTCTTCTCGCTGCAATAGGGCAAGACCGCCTTGGTAACGTTCCGCCCAATAAAGATGTCATAGCCGGTGTTATATCTTCATTTCTCCAGGTAACTTTTATTCCTTAATTCTTCACCATCTAGGTAGACCCTCTTCAACGTTACTTCAAAATTTAGATCGAAGAGTTTGAGTACTCTCCAAGTGAACCAGTTGCTCTTGGAGTGAAACTCAACTACAGAGAGCCCCCGAGAGAGTTTTACCAAGAGGCTTTTGAATCAAGGTTAGTGGGAATACGCTTGATGATTGTTTATGCGTTCCTATTTTAAAGTTGTATTTTTATTTCGGTTCAGATTTCTAGCTTCAACAGAGGAATATTACTCAGGATTGGCACAGAAATTACTAGCTGATATGACTTGTAGCAAGTACATGGAGGCTGTAAGTGTTTAGCCGAGTGAATTTAAAGAATTTTCATCTCCTACTATACGTAGTAGTCTTTCTTTGAAACAAATTGGCTGAGTTTGTGGCATAAGTCGGCTCAAGGAGGGAGCAGACTTCTTAGGCGGATGACAAGTGAGGCGTTTTCTGTGCTGCAGACGCTGTATCAGAATCTGAATTACGCAATCATTCTAATTGCTTTGTTGGTGCACACACTGGAAGTCGCTAGAATGGAAAATAAGCAATTTCGTTGTTTCCTAAGTGAGGAAAGGACTCTTGGAGGGTAAATGGGAAGTTTAGTCCCTGTGTTTGCGGAGGGCAAGCGTGTCAAAGGGCTCCTTAACCGACTATGTCCAGGCTGTTGGTTTGGCGTTACTCGTACACTTAAAGGCAATGCCCGCATTCAACCAATTTGTAGGCGTCCATCCTTGTAAAAGTAGTCTGGTCCGCAGTGATAAGCGAATGTACGCCACTTAGCGCGCTCCACAGTGAGTAGAGCTGCTCTCATAAAGTGGCACTTCTGACGCCAACCTTGGTTGTCCCGCTCACCAAATTTCGAGAGCTATTCTCTGTCACGAGTTTAATTTTCACTCCTTGTTTTTGTTTTGGTTTCACTTTTAGACGGTATTAGTATTGGATAACGCATATCCGTTTTTGCCAAGAAAAACAGATCCAAAAACTCATACAGTGAAGCTGTCAAGGGTCCTTGCTCAGGGCGTTCCCCATGACTTTTCTATTTCTTTCTTTTCTGTCCTGTAGATCTGTAACTGAATGTATCCATAACCTGCAATCGCGGGGTGCAGTGTGTTCAAATGTCCCCTCTATCCCGTGTGCTCCCGTGGTTCTCGTACGGACGCCAGTAACGTTTCCATTCTTCCCAACTTGCCAGAGTTGCCCCAGTTGTTGTTGCTGGTCCAGCGATCATCTTCTAAAACGTGCCGCCCACTTGACCAGTCGAAAAATTCTTGCGACTGTGTCTCTGATCTCTCCTAAATATATAGCTCTACACTTAAACATGACAGTAGGAAATATTGTTTCATCAGTTTTGGTGTTTATAGGTAATTGAAGCCCTAGAAGCAGAAGAACGCCGCTCCGCAACTTATGTGAGCCAATCAAGTGTTTCCAAGGTTGGTATATTATTACTTATAACAAGTTCGCCTCGCTCTCATAGCCTTTATTTTTCATTTGTAACGGATAACTGAAGGAGGAAGTCGGTATTCACGATTTCTAGGTAATTCGCTCTTGGTTTCTAGGTAATTCGCTTATGCCAAGATGTGATGATTAATGCTCACAAGGATAAGTTGCATGCCGTTTGCCATGAGTTGATCACGAATGAGGAGAGGAAAGGTATTTATCAACCTTTGCTGTGTTCTAGGTGCTGTGAGGGTCATCTTTTGTGGACTGATGTTTTCTATAGATACCGGTATCAAGTGGCATCTCATCTCCCTGCTCTAGTCCAGTATTGGGTCTTATTTATCCACCGAAGCGTCATCTTTGAAGCAGCTTAGATTTTTGTCGGAACATGTTTCGGGGCAGATTCTGTAGAAAGTGATCGCCGAAGATGTTCAACTCCCGGAGTATGTACTCGACATAGGTCTTGCACACAAACCAGTGTGATACATGCGTTAAGAAGGACAAGCTACTCCTGGGGAACCTTTTTGCCTGTATCTGTTCCCTTGGGCTGATCGATCTCATTTTTTGATAAGCGATATGGTAAAGAGTGATAGTGACCGAAGTCGTGCTCTTCCGAACCTTCATCGGTAACCAGGGTCCAGTATCAAAAAATCACAAGGTGGTAAAAGGTCTGTTAAAAAAGACCTCTTGAAAATCGAAACCAGCCAAATGGTTGTGGATATGGCTGCTGATTTCCAGCCGTGAAACTTTTTTTACGTTTGGATGCTTGTTTTTTGCTGTTTGCTTGCTCTCTCAAATGTTCCAGTGGTATTTGCAAAACTGCCTATCTTCAGATTTGCGCAATATGTATAGACTCTTGAAGCCCATTCCTTCTGGATTGCTGGTAATGGCAAAAGAATTCGAAGATTACGTCCGTAAGAAGGGTCTCGATCTATTATCTACCATTTCTGGAGACAATGTTCCTCAACAGTTTGTTGATAATGTTTTGAAAGTTAGTTATTCTCAATTGTGAGGAAACACTAGAAAAACCGAGCAACTCTATTCAAGGTCCATGAGAAGTTCCACGCAATGAAGACGGAAGTGTTTATGGACGACGGTGATTTTGCAGGGGCATTGGATAAGGTATTTCCTAGCACAAAAGAGTCAGCTTCCAGTTTTCGGCTTCTTTTGCTATTGTTCCTGTTTATTGCTATTTTGGCACTATTTACCCTTTACTGCCCCAATCTTCCGAAATCAGGCCAGTTCCTGACCGACTTTTTTCTGCCTTGGCAGAATTGGCTGAAAATTTGTCTCCTGGGGTAGTTTGACCTCCTGAACATGAATATCACATCCGCTAGGCACGAAACCTCCTGGCGCCCGCGCCACAGGCGCCGGCGCCAAAATACCTTAAATCACCAAATTCGCTGAAAACTTGTTCTCAGGGGTAGTCTGACCTCCTGAACACGAATATCACATCCGCTCGGCCTGAAACCTCCTGCCGCCCGCGCTACAGGTGCTGGCGCCAAAATACCCCAAATCACCGCGCCTGTGGCGCGGCGCCAGGAGGTTTCGGGCTAAGCGAGTGTCATATTCGTATTCAGGAGGTCAAAATACCCCAGGAGACAACATTTGAGCCAAATCTGTCCACGGAGAAAAAAGTCGGTCAGAAACTGGCTCAATTCTGGATGGTTGGGGCAGTAAAGGGTAAATAGTGCCGCTAATTTCAAGTCACCTATGTTTGCCCATGTTCTGATGTGTATGACTAATGTTGATTCCCGTGGTTTTTATTTGTGAGCAGGGCGCAGTTCAGTTTTAGGGGCATCAAGTGTTCCTTAGCAAAGCTTGTGAGGGCCTTATGAATACCTGTAATTTTTGTAACCAAAGTGACTTGCTTGTGATATTTTGCATTCTAAGAAGAGTTCATCGAAATTCTAAGAAGGTTTCATCGAAATGAGGCCCGTTATTTCACATGAACGAGCACAAGGAATCTGCAAAGCAAGTATTAATAAGGATCTCACAAAAATCTGCAAATTCTAAGAACAGCGCTCTTTAGCTGTTAGTTCAAAACTTTATTTCAGGCTCTTCAAAGTGTTGTTAATGTAAAGGAAGGCAGTGGGCCACCTCGTGCAAGTGAAAGGGTAAGAACTAAACTTGTTGTCTGAACAAGATTTTCCAACGGAATTAAAATATTTCCGTATTTCCTATATTGTTTAACGATTGTTTCTGATTACCAGAATTACAATCTTGTACACCAACAAAATTTGGCCTGGTGTCTCTAGGGTACCTAACAGAAGAACATAAAATGACCGAGGTCTACGTGCAGCCTCATCTCGGAGCTTTGTCGAGTGGACTTCGTTGCGTCGCCGCTTGAACCCATCATGTACACTCTTTTTTGCTGCGGTTGCTGCGGCGTCTCAGGAGCTGAGTTAGGCGCGGCACCAACCCATTTGTTGAAGCGAGCATACGCCAGTGATGAATGGAAAACGGACTGGCACTATGCCAAACCCAGCCGAGCATCCACAGCGAGCAAGACTGTACCGTACGCCCACGATTTTAATAAGGTCTTTACACAAATAGAACATGTTTTTTTTTCTTTTTTGTTGCAAATTTCATTTTTGTCCACATATTATGTTCACCAGCGAATTGTAGGTAAGACATGTTACTTTAATTCCGCTTATTATTTTAGTTGGCCAGATACACAGACAATCTGTTGCGAAAGTCTGCGAAAGGGATGAGTGAGCTGGAAGTGGATCAGCAGCTGAGCAAGGCGATAGTGATATTCAGGTACATCGAGGACAAGGACGTGTTCCAAAAGGTTAGTTCTTCGTTGACCACGTGTTCAAGTAACTTTTCATTAGTGCCAGTTAGCCGCTACTAAGTGTGATATACTTTTTTGTATCAAATTACATGAGTGGGGCCTGTTAACGTCCCATTTGTTCCTTCGACTTGCTGAAAATATCTGTAGTCACCTGCCACCGGTCACCATCCGATCGCGTGTTCGGCCCATTTGAGCAATGAGACACCGGTGAATGTTGTCAACTAGTGCGAACTTCGGATTTTCACCATCACTTGTGTGTAGTGAGAACCTGGGACCAAACAACGCCGACCGCTTTCTCGCCCGCTTGCATAGAGCTCCTCTCTCTGAGGCACGAAAAAACAAGGGATCGAAAGTCTGGGTCTGGGGCCATCATGAATGTTTTTCTAGCATAAAAGAATATTGAATGAGAAGCGGAGAAGACGAAGATCTTGCAGTGAATGTGGTTCAGTGCGGTGAAGCGAGGCGCCTTAATTTCTAGCTCACCGTCTGTGGAAGAACTTCCACTACTTCTGCCAAAGATTTCCTTTTTTTTTCTCATTTCGATTGCGAGTTTGACTCATCGAGTGATTGGTGAACTAGTATTTTTTCAGTACTATTCCAAAATGTTGGCTTCACGTCTCATTATGGGATTTTCTGTAGCGATGGATGCCGAAGAAGCAATGATCAACAAGCTTAAGGTCAGTTAACCTTTTTTGCGGTTTTGAATCAAATTCTGTTGTTTTCTGATATCTCCTCGTCCCTGAAAATTACTGTTTCAGCAAGCATGTGGCTATGAATTTACCAGCAAGCTATCCCGAATGTTCACAGATATTGGTCTGAGTAATGAACTAGCTGATAAATTCAACAAGGTAAGTATTGTGGGTTTATGGCTCTTGAACGGTTGTCGGTCTAGAGATCCCCTTTGTGCCAGTGTGGGAAGTGGTGCTAAAAGAGTAGCCTCTTGTGTGCGGTATTCGCACCATGGCTTGAGAGATTTATCTTTGGATGGCGTTTTGTCGGGTCCGGTAGCTAGGAAGTAGTAGCGAGCTTGAGCGCATTGCCGCAACGTGGATGTTCTGACCGACACCCATTATTCTGCCTAGAACAGGCGAATATTTATGATTGATTTATTGATTGATTTCAGCATCTAGACAAGACTCATACTTCTGTCCATGTATCCATGCAACCACTAGTTTTGCAAGCTGGATCGTGGCCTTTGTCCGCTCCTCAAGGTAGACTTCACCTGCCCGTTGTAGAACTTTTGAGATAGTTTCTATGAGAAGCTTATAGTAGAATCTCTGGCTAACTGTTAATAGCAGTGAGTATTTCAGCAGGATCAAACAACGGTAACTCCGAAACGGCTTCGTTTATACTACCACCAATTCTGCAGCCCTCTGTGGAAGCGTTTGAGGAGTATTACATTGGAGCTCATAATGGACGAAAACTTACCTGGCTATTCAATATGTCACATGGTATGTGCACTTCTTTTTCATGCCTCGGAGAGTTATGCTATTTATCCCTTGGATGTTCTAGGTGAACTGCGGCTGACCTATTTGGATAAACCGTACCTAGTATCGATGAGCGTTCATCAAATGTCTGTGCTTTTATGCTTTCAAAACAAGGATTCTGTCAAGGTGAGTATTAGTTTTATTTTTAGTAAAGTTAGTCGATAGAACCTGCCAAGTATTTCTACCAGAGATCTCCTCAGGGCAGCCAGTCCAGCATTAAGTTACTAACCAATCGTGTGACATTTGGCGTTTTAGCTGTCTGTGATCTCTCTTGCCACTGGTATCACAGGAGATGCACTGTTGAGGAACGTTCGCTCCATCGTTGACGCTAATATACTTACCACAACTACTAAGGTTGGTGATTTGTTGAAAATATTATAAGGTTTTAAATCTAGGCGTTCATGACACCAATATGGTAAATTGAGAGGTTTTCGCATAAGTTTTATGAGAGGCATCGTATTGAAACGTTCTCTCCTCAAAATGACTTTTTACGACTCAAATGGGGTGGGGTAGATGTGAAACAGTTGTACAGTACTCATCACTGAGATGGGAGGCGTGATTGCGTACTTCATCAGCATATGGCGTAGGAAGCGTTTTTCATGTGATATTTCCATTTGAGACAACTACAGCCGCTGAAAGTTCTAGTTCTAACGGCCGCTCAGTTGGACCACCCACTTGCTAGATGCCCTCCGACGGAGGGCAGCTCAGTTGTTCTTTGTTGGACGGCGGCGCTTGCATTCGGAATTGCACGTCCTTTTCGCTGACACAGCCTCATGCCCATGAATGATTCTGCTCTCTTTTATTACATTTTATTAAATCAGGAGCACATACAGCCAACTCCAACACATCTCGCAAGATAAAACGCGTAAAAATCACGAGCGACCCCTTTTTCGTTTTGCAAAAGCTCGACGCGCTTCACTACACTAAAATATGCACGCTACCGCTAACTCTTAAACTCGGGACGCCGGCTTTTTTAAATGCTGTTCTTTTTTCTTTTCAAGTTTTTCCTTTCTCTGCTTGTTGTTTTTTGTTTTCTTTCTTCGCATTCGATGATATCCACTACTGGGAGATGTGATAAAGTGATTTGTGAGCCAGGGCTTGCACAGAGACCGCAGGGAGGTGTGACTGTCAGGGCGCGATTTTGTTTATGGTGTTCTTGAGGACTCTTCTTGCTTTTTTTTCTTTTGGGGAATTACTTATCAGCTACTGTTTCATAATTGAACATCAACTATCCATGACACTTTTATCGCGGGAGCTGTCTTTAAGAATGCCGAGCACTGACACCGGCCGGGAGTCGAACCCGCACCTCACGCTTTCCGAGCAAGTGCTTTATCCACTACTTCACCTGGTCGCTTTAACCTTCAGCTTGAAGGTTTTTATTGTATTTCATGCCGTTGCCCTTTCCATTATGTTTAGTGGGTAGTAGCGGTCTTGGTGGTCTGATGGATAACGCATTCGCCGGAAAAGCGTGTTGGAATCCTGTCTGAGGTCAAGGCTTTTGCCCCATGACTCAGCATACTCATACAAAAATGACATTGTTTGATCATTTGTCATAAAACTTACAGGAACTCACGGACACCTCAGAATTGGTTCTAAACAAATCCTTGACTTGCAAAAGGCTCCGGTTCCGCCTCGCTACTCCTCAAGTGGTTAAAAACGCCGAGAAAGAAGCCGAGTCTGTGAGCAATACGGTAAGCAGGAAGTATACACTTTGAGCTGCTTTGGTATCTTTTAATTTTCTTCGAATTTTTCTTCAGGTAACACATGACCGTAAATACTACATGGAATGTGCTATTGTGCGTATTATGAAAACCCGAAAGGTTCTCAAACACAATGCCTTGATTAGCGAGGTGAATCAGACTTACTCTTTCCCCTGGGTTTTAGTGCAGCTTCACTTTCCAATTCAGGTTGTCGAGCAGACTAGGAGCAGGTTCACACCTGATGTGGCTTTTATCAAGAAAAGCATCGAAGATTTAATTGAGAAGTTGTACATTCAACGAACGGATCAGAATGATGAATACCAGTACCTCGCGTGAGCACCAATCACCAATACCTATTTACAAATATTTCAGTTGCCATAACTTTGTATGAAAGATATCTCCCAATTTGTTTTGTCTGAGCTGACCGGCTCAAAGTGCGTGCGGTTGCGGACAGCGCCTTGTGTTGAGACAAGGGCAAAGTTTGGCTTCTTGGGGGCACCGAATGCTCCTCGGCTAAGCTTTTCAGGCCAACTTTTAGAGACCTGTAAGTTCCTATTACCACAATGGTTGAATGGGGGAACAATTCCGTAGCTTCACAAGAGTTTACAGGTTTGTGACCTGTTAATCGACATGAACCAACAAAAAGAACTGGCGAAGGTGCAGAATGCCCCCTCCAAGCCGAACAGCGCCAAAAAAACCTTGCACCTCCACTCCTTTCGCGCCGGTAGTTCCCGAAAATATCCTCTATGTGCTGTACTATGTTCAAAGAATCTATCGCTAGCTGTCTGTTTTTGACAGTTTTTTCTTAGTTTTAAGTCGAGTTCTTAGCCTTTTGACGATCGTTTATGAAATGATGACTTACCCATCACCCTTTCCTTTTCCCTATCTGTTCAAATTTTGTGTTTTTGTTCTTTCATCTACTTGTTTACATATTTGTATATTAGTATTGTGTAGCTAAAATATAATCGATACCGATCAACCAGATGTTCTAACGATTGTAAATATAGAGAGTGTACTACCAGGTGATTCGGTTCGATGCTCGATTGCGATTCATTAGGGTGAGGATATAGGTGTCCGTATACTAATATGCCGGTTGATATGAATGATCACCGCTTGTGAAGTGCCTTTGATAGTGGTGATCATATGATGAAAGCGTTTTGTATAGTAACTACGATTAATAGTCATTGTCATCAGTGGGTGAGATTTGTTTTCAGTAAAGTAAAATAGCTACAAATACCTCATGCTTACAATAAAGATTTATCCTTGAGTTTTGTCTGTGGTTGGTTTGCTGTTATTGTACAGTCTCGCTCGTAGCGGTTTCTAGGGCGTGCCAGGAAGGCTGAATTTGACGCAGTTCTCCCTACAACAGCTAAGGGGCCACCGTATACTGTCTCATTTTAAAAGAACTGTCACCATTTTTTGAAGCGGGAAGTGGTAATAATTGGTTGAGAAAGAGCTGGCGAACCGCCAAACCCAGCCCATTCGACACATCCATGCATCCGCAGCGGACGGAGAGAACTGCAAGCATCGTTCTCGTATTTGTCGTTTCGACTTGTTTGCCTCGGTACTATAGTACCAGCGCTTTGGTATCGGACTTGCAGTGGCAAATTCAACCTGAATTCGCAGGCGGATGGGGGAGGGGGAGTGACAGGTGGTGGCGTGACTATGCCATGCAATGTCGTCCTGTCACACCCTTTCACCGAGACATCGCGGAACAAGCGTCTAACCGCTTTCTTGTTCGCACAATTTCTTTCGAAATGACTCCGAGACTCGGAAAGAGAGCGTACACGAGTGGACTGAAGTGGTATCGGGCGACGGCAACGAGGTAAGGGGAAATGTAGGCGTTCCGTCTACATTTTCCCATAAACTAACCCGACCTGAAATTCTCTAAAATTTGCTGAAAATTCATATAAAAATTAATAAATAAGAGGATGAAGTCTTCGCCGTTGATCAGCCCCTTTGTGGGATGCGGCACGCATTCTACTTCCATTCAGAATCGTAGTGGCTTATTGAATGCGATATGGCCTATACAATGACTTGCAAGAAGCCGGTGTACAAATAGGATCCTCTCAGGCAAATGTGGCATCAATTTACCGTCTGCGGGGGGTAGAAGGCTTGGTTAGCTTAGACGAGAGCCGATTCGGGATTTTATTCCAGATCGTGTACGTGGTCAGCGTGCCACTTACCACTACACCACCTCCCCCTCCGAAAAAGTGTACAGCATCATTGTGTGAGACAGTGGGGTCGTATTTGGTCGCTGTTGGGAGAGGGGTGGGGGTCGTATGTGCCTTGAGAGGAATTTGCCGCGTTAGGAAGAAGTTTTTTCCGATTATTGACTTTTGTCCTGATTTTTCCTGTTTCATGTACTATATACTATCCCCCCACTCGACAGCAAAATTTTTGGAAAACTAGGAAAATTTTTAGTAAATTCTGGAAAAAGTGGCAAGCAGTTTGGGATAATCTAAGAAATTTTCCGGTTTCTTATTGACTATATGCTCACTACTCGACTGAAATTTTTGGGTGGAAAAACTGCGAAATGTGGGAAATCTATAGGTAGGTGTTTGGGAAGGGGGGTCGTACCGAGACCCTCATTTAGGTAGGGGGGATCCGTACTGAGAGAGGGTGTGAACGCTCGTGGAGGGGTCGTACCTACACCACCATTTGACTAACCACTATCTGTACCCTGCTCCAGAAACTCTTCTCGAGGAATCCGTCCTACGTTCTGCCTTCCATCTTTTGCCCCTTGAAAAAAATACCAAAAAGTATTCAAATTACTATTGGAACTGAACGTGGATCGCTAGGCACATTTTTTTGAGACCGCCTGCAAAAGAAGTTCCCGAAGTTCACTTTTTGCTGAATGATGTACTCTTGTGGCGTTGCAAAGGACAACTCCGGTTCTTCAACATGCCATCTTAAGTGCAATTCCGCTGGACAAATGTGAGTGTGACCGGCACGCGTATGCGCCACAAAAAATCTAATCGTTGCGGCTAACGTAGTTGGGACCAGGTTTCGTTTTTTTAGCGGGTAGTAGCGGGGGACATGCGGCGAGACTGAACCTGTTTTCAGAGAATGGATAGCATTTGAACGACTAGCGAACGAGTTCAAAATAACCAGCTTTTATCGATTCTTTTGGGATGCGCCACGGACTCGAACCATACTGGGGATCTGAATGTGTTTATAGCGTCAACTAACACGTGCTTCTGAGAACAAACGTATTCTCAAGGCAGGTATACCGATTAAGGACTTTTGGAGAGATGATTGATGTGAGCTCGAAGCATGCTGCCGCGCTAACCGTAAAAGCATGCCGTAGCGGAGATGCTTCGAGGCATAGCATCAAGCCCTATATGTCATTTGAGAACATTCGCATCTATCAGTACCTTTTGGGACGTGCCGCGCATTCACTTCTACCCAAACCCGTAGTGGGTATTGCATGCGGTTTGACATCTGCAATGCTTCGCTGGGAGCAGGGTTCGCCGCACCTGGGGAATTTCTGCCAGTGGTCGTATTCGTTCCCTGGGGGAGGGACAAGGGGGTGGGGATCGTATTTGGTCTGAGAAAATTCTTACAAGTCGTTTTTTTTGTTTCATGGACGTTATGGGGGAGGGGGGGGGGTTCGTATTCGTCTTTTGATAGAAATTAGCGGCTTGGGGAAAATTTGTCCCGATTGTTGACTTTTCGTGCATTTTCCTCTTTCACATGAGCTATTTACCCCCCCCCCTTTCCCGCCTGCTGGGGAGCTCGATCGTATCAGATGAAGATAGAGGAGGGGTGGGTCGTATCAAGCCACCCCCAGTGGAGGGATCGTACGGACTCGGCCAATCCCAACAACGCGCGCTGATTCCAATGATGAGTGAGTATTTGCCGGTCGCTTTGAGCTTCCACTTGTTGAACCTAGTACTGCTAGGTGGAGACCTGTCTCCCCCCCCCCCTAAGTAAATAAATTAGAAGGTTGGAGTCTTGACCCAATCCCTTTTTGAGATGCGGCACGCATTCTCCTTTCATTCAAAATCGTAGTGACTGAATGCGATGAGGCCTATACAATGACTTCAGGGAATCGGCCGATGCTTAAAGAGAGCGTCCGCGATCAACCAAGGTGAAGAAACCCTGTACTGTACAAGATCGCGGAGTCCGCAACCACAGAGGATATCCCACTCCTGGGACTCGAAATCGATTGATAGACGAAGGCGGAGTCAACAATGATAAGCTGACTCCGCCTGTCGTGTTAATCCCGCCTCGATTGGTTTTCCATTATCAATCCTCGCTGGCATTGATAATCGCTAAATTTCTAGCGTTCGTTTCGTACACTGATAGAGATTACCTTATAGATAGATTAGATAAGTTAGATTAGATTAGATAAGATAGACAAGCTAGATTAACTTTCAAAACAACCTAGGTAGTGGCCTCATGAGAATTAGCCGCAACGAGGCGGCGACGGTTTTGGAGAACTCACCCAAAATCTGCGAAACTCGTCCAGATGCGTCCGATCGAACAGGGTCTTATTCTATGTTCTTGCGGCGCTTTTTGTTACTTTTTTGATTAATGCTTTACTTGCCACATGTTCTAACAATTCTGAGCCCTACAACCTGCCAAAGTCGATCGCGGGCGCTGTCTTTAAGACACATAGTACGCACACACATTGAGGGTGTATGTGACTATCAGCCCCAGCTGTCGATGTGTCGTGGTTTCCCCGCCCGAAACTGCACGGGGTTAGAGTACAGGGCCGTGGGAAAGTCTAATTCGTCCATGCTCCGCCCAAAATGCAACTTGCGGCGCAGACTCCCTTTATGCTAACAGCCGTCCGCGCGGCGCGTGTCGCGCGCAGCTCTCTTGGCTTTTTGCCAAGTCCTGTAATTGCGCTTTGGAATACAAGTAAAACGCAATTTCCTGATGCGGATAACATTTTAGGTGCTGCAAAATAAGAACCGAAGATGATGACGAGGGCCAGAACTCAAGAGCAACTGTGCTGCTTCTGCAATATCCCTCGGAGGCCGCGCATTCCCACAAAACATGAAAATAAAAACGGCCTAAGCTCCCATTCGTTAGTTTAAAGTATTTCCATTTGGTATCTATTTAGTACTTGGAGCCGAATTCGCGCCCGATCGCAGAAATTACACGCGATTTTAATTAATTTGCGTTTCCTTAGTTTTTTTTCAATTTTGTTTTATTTACATCTACATTCGTTGTTCTTCATTTCTAGCCTTTGTCATCTTCATCACCCTCTATTCGGATTTGCAGCATGATGATATTGGCATCAGGAAATTGCGTTTTGCTTTTATTCAACTAACGAGTGGAACGCTTAAGCCGCTCATGTTCTGTGGGAATGCGCGGCCTCTGAG